AGATGCCCCAGCTGACAGCCCAGCTGAGCTCCCAGACAAAGGCCAGTAGCAACTGAGAAGTCCTTTCCAGCCCCACACAACTGAGACAAAATGTAATAGTTGTGCATCCGATCGATAAGCATGTTATGGGCAACTGGTATGTGAGAACACCTTTCTGGACAATGTGGTCTCGCCAAGAACTTCCAACTGAGCTGAGGAGATAAGGTATAACTGAGCAACCAAATGATAAGCTTTGTGGCTGTGATGATAAGCGCAAAGGCACCTGGGAGAGTTCAACTCAAAGGTAGTCTGGGAGGGCTCCGTGGAGGAGGTGTGCCTGGAGCTGGGCGTCATGGTGAGCGAGGAGATCATTCTACATGGGGAAACCAGGAGCTGAGTCTCCCTCAGGGGGAAGAGAGGGCAAGAGAGTGTGGGTGGGCAGTGGGAAGCCTGGGGCTGTCTGGCAGGTGTGTTTGTGAAGTATGGAAACCAGTGTAGAGCAAGACCAGATTGGTGGTGCTCGGGGTGGGGAGGTGGAGTGGTGAGGGATTTGTGGCTAGATCCAGATTTTTATTTTCTCAGTTTCCAAAAGCTACTGTCATTAAAGATCAAGGACCACATTTCAGCTTTTCCAGAAAAGTAAAAGAAAACCATGTGCTTTTATTTCCCAGGGCATCAGCTAACATTTTCCCCAGGATGGTTTTATAGAATACACTTGGGAGACTTTTCATGGAAGACAAATACTTTTGTTAGTGCCCTTTAGAAGCTTGGACTCTCATAAGGTCCACCAGAATGCCTAAAAAGAGAAAATTCTAAGTGCCAGCAAGGAGAATTCTTCTCTTCAGCTACAGGAATATAAATTGATGCAACCACTTTGGAAAACTTTTTGGCACCAACCATTACAACTGAACACAGGTCCAGAGACTCATTGTGTGGTATACAGATACCAGCAGAAATGCATCCATCCATCTATTGATGCTTCCCTGGTGGCTTAGTGGTCAAGAATCTGCCTGCCAATGCAGGAGACATGGGTTGGATCCCTAGAGAAGGAAAGATCGGGAAGATCCACTGAAGAAGGAAGTGGCCACACATTCCAGTATTCTCGCCTGGGAAATCCCATGGACAGAGGAGCCTGGTGGGCTATAGTCCATAGGACTGCAAAGAGTCGGTGATGACTTAGCAACCAAACAACAAGAATATCCATCTATTCACAAGAAGGCATGTACATAAGCGTTCATAGTGGCACTATTAGGAATGGCCCCAAAGCAAAGCTGCCCAAGTGCCCATCAACAGGAGAGAAATATTAGAGAAATAAAATGTGGTGTATTCACATTGTGGAATGTGAGTGCTGCATGTGTGTGTGCGTGTGTGTGCCCGTGCGCGCACTAAGTCGCTCAGTTGTGTCCAACTCTTTGTGACTCTATGGACTGTAACCCATCAGGCTCCTCTGTCCATGGAATTCTCCAGGCAAGAATACTGAAGTGGGTTGCCATGCCCTCCTCCAAGGGATCTTTCCAGGGATCGAACCCGCCGTGTCTCTTGTCTCCTGCATTAGCAGTTGAGTTCTTTACAACTAACGCCACTGTGGCATGGTACACAGCAAAGAGAATGCATGAACCATAATGCACACACTATGAATGGATTTTACCAGCACAGTGTGTGAAGCAAGAGGAGCCAGACACACAAAAAGCTCATGGTGTAGATTCTGTTTCTATAAAGTATCAAACCAGGCAATGCTAATCATACCAAGTTAGGTTAGCAGTTATCTCTGGGGCCACAGTACTTGGAAGGAGGGATGAGATGATTTCTGGGGTGCTGATGGTTCCTGATCTGGGTACTGGTTATATGGATGTGTTCATAAAGTCCAACGCAAATGATCTGTGCGTGTTTCTGTATAGCTATTTTGCGTCAATAAAAAGCAAATCATCATCATTGTCATCATTATCACCTTCTAATGCGGAATGAAGGCAGAAGGCACAGAAGGGCCTCTGGGCTAGAGTCACGGAGAGATTTACACGGAGAGTGACAAAGAAACAAAGTTGAGGGACATGCCAACAAAGGATAAGTTTAAGATGAACCCAGTTAACTCAAGCAAAGTTGTCACTGAAATCAGAAAGCAAATTGCAGTTTCAAGAGTACCCGCCCTGCTCCATAATGGGTGGCTAGTCTAAGAAGCAACTACACCCAGCCAGTCCCCTTTCCAGATCTAGGCTGGGATTAGTCACAGAAGATGGATCACCTCCCACAGCTTTGGAGGCAGGAGGCAGAATTCCCCCCAAATAAAAGATCCTTTGAATCCTCAAGGGGCCCCACCATTAAACATCTACCCCAATGCTCGATTCTCTCTGCTTACAGGATCTAAATCTTGATGCTGCCACCCTAAATTTTTGTACAGTGGATTCCTTTGATTGGAATCACTTTGGGCAAAGGCGATTAGACTCCATTAGCTGTGGGAATCAATTGAACAGCGAGCTTTCCTTCCTAAAGGGAAGGGCCAGGTTCCAGTACTTGGCTTACTGCAGAGCCCTGGAGGAATTCATTGAAGGGAGGCCCGATTTTAAACATCATCACTTTTGGAAGAGACATTAGGCATCCCTCCCACATTATTCAAGGATGAAATGAGAAAGGCAGGGCAGGACTGGGGGAAGGAGCCATAAGAAGGAGCTGGAACATTCAACTTACTCCCTAAAACCATCAATGTATGAAGCCATGTCCTAGACAGCTAGTGAGACGAGCTGAATGTCCGCTTGGTAGTAGAGTGAACTCCAGTGGTGACACTTCCTAGGTCTCAGCCCACATGTGTGAGGCTCTAAGATGTGCTCAGAGGCTAGCAAGGACACTTGTTAGGTCTTGGGTCTCCTCTGGTCTTTCCCACCTACACTCCCTCATTACATAGGAAACCCCGGCAGGAAGAAAGGTCTCCATCACAGTCTCCTTCTCTCTAGGCCTCGAGATGGCCTCTGGTCCATCTTCTCAGGTTTTCTGAGGTTGGTGGCCATGATCCAGAAGCCTCTGGTCCCATAATAAACCACCTCAGGGATGTTACTGTGTAATTATTGCATGGATTTATGTAATCCAAAACAGAAAACTCCAGCAAAGGTGGTTATATGATTTCATATATGTATTTATATATATATATATATATATATATATATATACACATATACATATATATCATAGCTAGAGATATATAGTTTGGGTTTCAGCCATCTGTTTCAGATTGCATTACCGTTAAATTTCCACCCTGCCCTGTTTCCATACCCTGTGCCATGTGACCTTACAATTCATCCCTCCAGAGGTGGAGTGGATCTCCCGGCTCTATCGCTGTCAGGTCACAAATGTCCTTTGACTAATGGAATGTAGGCAGAAGTAACAGTGCACAAGCTCTGAGTCTAGGACTCGAGTCACTGCGTTTCTACTTTACCCTCTTGCAGTTCAGGTATTGCCAGGAAACTATGTCCCAGGTAGCCTGCTTGTCCTTGGAGAACAAGAGACCCATGGAGCAGACTGGACCCAACCCCCACTCAAGCCCAGCTGGGCACAGTCTAGATCAGCAAACAACAGGTAATCCACAGACACGAATATGAGAAATAAATGCTTCCTGATGTCAATTACTAAGTGTGGGAATAGTGTTTTGTTATACAGCATAATTGTGGCAAGACCTGACTGATACACCCTAAGCACTTTATTCCATCAATGCACAATCTAATGTCTAAAAGAACATCTCATCTCTCTCCCCTCTATTTTTTTTCCTTGACCACACTGTGGGATCCCCCTGACCAGGGGTCAAATCCATGCCCTTGGTAGTGAAAGCTGCAGAGTCCTAACCACTGGACAACCAGAGAATTCCCCCTTTTTTTTCCCTGCTGTGTTGCATGGCATGTGAGATCTTAGTTCCCTGACCAGGGATTGAACCCATGTCCCCTGCATTGGAAGCACAGAATTTTAACCACTGGGCTGCCAGGGAAGTCCCTCTCCTTAGCCTTCTTAATTCTTCATAGATTTTATATAGAAATTATATAGAATTATATATATATATAATTATATGTTATATAGAAATTATATATATACACACATATGCATATATATATATGCATATATATATATATATATATAAAATGTACTTGTTTCTCAAGTGAAATAAAGTTTTATGATGGCTAAGATACTGTTTTGTTCCCCGAAGCTATAAACACCCAAAGCCCTAGTAGGTGCACATGAAGTAAAAGTCACTCAGTCATGTCCAACTCTTTTTTTTTTTTTTCATGTCCAACTCTTTGTGACCCCATGGGCTATAATGTCCATCGAATTTTCCAGGCCAGAATGCTGGAGTAGGTTCCCTTCTCCAGGGGATCTTCCCAACCCAGGGACTGAACCCAGGTCTCCCACATTGCAGGCAGATTCTTTACCAGCTGAGCCTCCAGGGAAGCCCCAAGTAAGCATGTGGTAGGTGTTAAATAATTATGTGTAGAATGGATGGATACCCCTTTTTGTCTTCAGTTAATATGTCTCCCATCTAATTTATGTTCCTCTGTGTAGCTCAACGACTTGGTGATAGGCTAAGTTGAAGAAAAAGAACACATTTTGTGGAGAAAAAGAATCTGTGAGCAGGAGATCTCTGGGTGTCGTCTCTGGTAAGGGCTGAGGGGTTCCTTCTCAAGGAGCAGCTCCTGGTGGTTAGGGTCCTCAGAAACCACAGCAGGCCTCCAGGACCTTGACAAGTCAGCAGGTGGCCTGTCCAGCACAATCCAATGGGACCGCGACACAGCTAAATTTCTGTGGCCCGTCTCAGAGGCTGTCCTCAGCCGTAGGAGGTTTCTGTGTGTCAGTTCACTGGGGGGAACTTGAAAGGGACTGACGTGGCTTCCAAGAGCCGCCAGAACGTTTGACTCTCTGGCATTGTGCCAGCATCACACGTTAATTAAATTATATGGCAGAAACACCACAATGTCAAGGTCAGATATTACAGCCGTCAAAGCCTAACATTAGGCTCAGTATTTTATAGCGCAGAGCAAAGTATACCTTTAAACAAATTTCCTTATCTTGCCCGTGTCGACTCTAGCGTCCAGCTCGTCAGACATCTGCCATTCGACACTGCCCGTGTGAAGAGCATCCCGGACAACTTTATCTGAGGGTCCATAAGACCCTCTCTGGCTTGTCAGACAGTGTGGGGGGGAGACAGAGGAGGGGGTATTCCTGTGATCACACCCACTTGCTCCATCTGACCCTCGACTTGGGACCAAAACAGGCCTTTGTGAACCTGCAACTCCCTGAGGGCGAAGGATGTATTCTTCCTGGCTTTGTCCTGAAAGTAAACACTAGTTCTCTCTTCGAAGATGGTTCTATCAGCAGGGCAGCAACTAGCCAGGCTAGAAAACGGGAAAAAAAAAAAAGAAAAAGACTTTCCTTCCAAATGTCTTTTTAATAAGCACGGCTAGAAGCTTTCCGTGAGTGTGGAAACTGTCCACAGGAAGCCCCTGGCTCTGAGCAGAGCTGAGCGAGGGCAATTCTTTCAGGCAGGAAAGGACTATTAAGCCACATTCCGGGTTTCCTCTGGCCTCTCTCATGGTTAGGGATGAAAACTGGGAGGCCATGAACTCGGGGGCCCAATGACTCTCAGGTGATCACCGAAGCAAAGCGGAAACCAAGTGTGTTGGTCTCGTCTCCTCAATACCTATTAAGTACCTTCTACATGCCAGGCACTATTTTATGTGCTTTATCTCCACCAACTAAGTTAGTTCTCCCAACATTATGAAGTCTGTCGTTTTTGTTGCCCCTCCTCCATTTTACAACCAGGCAAAGTGAGGCCAAGTGGGACACCGAGAGTAACCGCCTAAGGCCATACAACTAGTCAAGCGGCTGAGCCAGGTTTGAAAGGAACCGAGGCAGCCTGCCTGTACCCTACCTGCTACTGTGCAGTCTTGGCTATTGAAACCTAGGAACCTCCCATGAGCCAGGAGCCCTGATAAGGTGCTGGGGGTTCTCGGGGGAGGACCCTGTATAAGCAATGTATTCACAAGGGCCAAGTATTTCTAAGTAACATTGTAAAATAAAGTTAAACTAATTCAGATCTTTGAAGGGGTTTTGAATTCTTTCCAAGGGTAGGAGTGCTGAATAAATATAGTGCTTTGGAAAACCTGCCTTCCTATATGGGTATTCATTGTACTTGAACTTTACATTTTACTGTGGGTTTGGAATTTTTTTCAAAATAAAATTAAAATTATTCTTCTATTTTTTTTTTTTTTTAAGAATTAGCTTTAATAGACTACCTTGGGGAGGGTAAGCAAGAAACCAGGAGTGGTGATTGCCTGCGGATAGGTGCCCTGGGTGACTGAGGAACACGACTGGGGGGGACGGGAGAGCACCCCCTTGATATCCTCAGAATTTTGTGCCGTGAATGTGACATTGTCTGGGTGGAAGCTCGGGAAAGAAAGCACAGAACTCCTGGTTCCCGAGTCCCCACCCCGCAGACCGATCCCTCAGAGTGTGGAGGGTCTTTGGTCACCCAGCTGCAAGCAGAAAGTGGGCAGACACTCCCACCCACTCTCTGGCCTAAAAAATGTAAGCTTGAGGAGGAAAATCAAGGGGAGCTCATTTTCTTGGCTTTAGGTAGTGTGAACAGAGGGAAGCTTTCAGCCATGTGGGGCTCAGGTCTCTCGGGGAGACTGTAAGTTCTCTAAGGAGGGGCCTGGGGTCTCCCCCGGCCACCCCCAACAGCTGCAAGAACAGTGCCCAACAGACAGAGGGGCTCTATGGAGTGCTCATGGAATGAATGAGCTGTGCTCCGTCAAGGGTCACCTGGCCCGATGCTCTCCCCACGATATGTGTGGGGACCTCTTAGAGCCTGGATGTCACACTTACCTCGAGTTACCAGTGCTTCCCAGCCTTGACACACATAGAACATGATGATATTTTTACGACGCACAAGGATAAACAGTGACCAAGTGTTCACAAGGGCCCCACTTGGCTGCTCTAGGCCTGAAGCTACCAGTCAGGGGAGTTGTCTACCCGCTCCCCACCCCTGCCAGACCCACCAGGCTACCCCGAGGGGCTGGCCCACAGACAACACCCTCAACCTTGGCAAGCTCCGGGTTGATAGCTACAGGAGCCGTTCGCTGGCTGTCTGGAGCTAGTCACCTAAATGGGGAGAGGGTGGGCCGAGGGGGCTGCGGAGGGGCAGCTGGGTTTCCCGGGATTCAGAGTGGGTGCGAGGGTGTGCCCTGGGCTGGGGGGCGCCGCGGGCCTGAGTGGTGGGCTGGGACGGGGCTGACTGCCAGCTCTGGCTGGCCCACAGCCAGGAAGTCTGACTGAACTTGGGCCAGCCCTGTTGGCCCACAGACTCTGTAAGCTGAACTGCTCCAGCGCTCCTGGGCCTTTGTTTTTGCTTCCCCACCGCTCTCCCTTAGTGTTTAGGAATGTGCTTTGAAGGGTCCAGCCTGTTTCGCCTCTGCTTAGGGAAACCAAGAGCAGAGGCTGGGCTGAGGCCAGATGGCTGCAGGGAGGGCACCTGTCATCACACTGCAAGCGCCCCAAGGGGCAGGTGGAATCCAGGGGGCACGGGGGCGGGGGCGCCGCTTAAGCCAGCCCCCTTTCTCTGCTGGGAGACTCTGTTTCCAGTGTGAAACCTTGGAGAGTCTCGGGTTTGTTTTGTTAAGGGAGGCGGTATTCCCTTAGCAGCTCCCCCAGAGAGCCTCCATTTGTCCAGGAGCTTTTGGGGGGTGAGTTACATGCTTGTATTTGTCCTGGGCAAGAGAGGGAGCTGCAAGCAGTGCTCGAGCTAGGAAGAGTTGCCTCTTCAATTCGCCCCCGGCTCCATTTCCCCCGCCTGCCCTGGAACATACTGGCAGGCCCTCAGATGACAGTCAAGTGAAGGGCCCTGGTCCAAAGGGCCTGGCCTCTCTTGCACCCCCCGCTCCTGGGGAGCGTGGTCTCATATCCAGGCTGTCCTTCTGTAAACCTTGCTATAGCACTTTGAGTGGACGGCTTCCTTCTTCCACAGCCCCCTCACCCACCATCCTTCATGGTCTGTGTTACCCTCTAAATCACCTGCTTGGGCCTTTGAGAGCTCCTAGCATTGTGGCCTCATAGGCCCAGCGCTGTGCTTTGCCAACAGCAAGCAGTTGATAAATTTATATGATAAGAATACCAGAGCACTTCGGTGACTCCAGGCATCTGGGATCTCTCTCTAACCAGAAGTACCCTTTCTCCTCTGATTCCCAAAGCAGCGTGCTCTGGGTTCTGGCCTTAGTTTGGTCACTGATGTGTCCCCTTGAGCTGGCATTGTCACCCTCTGAACCAATTTCCTCAGCTGGACTAAATGGGGGCCCAACCAAAGCTCTGGCGGCCGTGCTCGGCACACACTCAGGTTTTCCTGGCTGTCGCTTTAAGCCCAGGTCAGCCCGCCTGGACTCAGGTCTTAGTGGGGTCCCTGGCCTTCGGCTGAGGATGCCTCCTGTGCTTTTCCATGGTCTGTTTAGTTTCACAACACACACACCTGGTCCTTGGGCTCCTGGCACGTGTGTGCCTTTCTGTCCCCCCACAGCCATTTATACAGCTCCGGCTCCCACGTGCGACGGGGCCGTGGCACATGAGCAATAACTCCAGGGCCACAAGGGCACCCGAGTCATTTTTCTGCAGCTAGCGTTGTCTGTTTCAAGCCACGCAAGACCTCCCTCCTGCCTGGTGGTGACACAGGCCCTGTTTAGTTATGTGTGGGGTCTGGTTTGTTTTTTTTTTTTCCCTTCCTCATTTCCATTTCTCCTTGATTTCAGCATGCGAGTTAAATGTGCACTCAGAGGCTCTGCTGAGGATAAAGAGAGAATGTGATCAGTGGCATCCCTTTCCTGAATCTGCCCAGGTAATGACTGCCTCCCCGCCTCGCCCCCGAGTTTCCTCTCTGTCTTCGTATACTTAGTGCGCATTGCCCTGGATAGAGTTGAATTAGGCATCCATGCACCCAGGGGCAAGGACCCAAGGACCCGTCCTGGGTTGAGCAAATGGGGCCCAGCACCCAGTGCAGGAACCTGCAGCCTGCCTCCCCCTCCCCTCCCCCCCTGGCTGGTAAGTGATGGGCTGCCAGCAGGTAGGGGAGGCTGTCCGTTCCCAGCTAATGATCGCCTTAGGCGCCAAGTGATGGAAAATCCAGGCGGCTGGCGAGCTGCAGGGCGCGGCCAGGGACAATTGTATGGACCAGTTTTAACAGGGGAGGGCGGGTGGATGGCAGAAGGAATGCTCTGTGTGTGTGTGTTTCCCGGTCTCTGTCTCTCTTCTCTCTCCTCCCCGCTGCCTTTCCCTCGTTCTTGCTCTCGCTTTCGGTTTTCTCTTCTGTTTCTAGCCCACGCGAGTTGAAATTAGAAAGGTCTCTGCATTCATTTATTTGTTTTTAATAAAGACAGCATTTTTAAGCGGCATATTTGCAGCAATTGAGTGCTAAACTAAACACCAAGCCGATTAAATGTGTTAGGGGGAAATGAAAAGTCAGTTTACAAGAAACATATAATTAACACGTTCTCTGACTTTCCTTAAGCCTTTGTCTGGCTGAGGACAAGACACAGGAACCATAATCAACTTTAATAAAATGAAAGATGGTATCGAGGCAAAAGGGGAACAAAAAAAAGTTTAGAGTGGGAAACAGTCCTCAGGAGGGGATTCTTGAGTTAATAATAAATGTTTTTTAAAAAATGAATCTTTTGTTGCCTTATTTTTAGTCAACAGCCATTTTCTCCTTCTAACTACAAAGGCTCCAGAAGGTTCTAGTTTGTAGTGTACCTGTTAACAGCGCCTGAAGCTGAGAGCTGGAGGGGGGAGGTAGGGAGGTGGTATAAGGAACCCGCAGGAGACGCGCAGCAGTTCCCACAGGCTGATCTACCCGGGGTAATGGAAATTACTATTGCACAACCCCAGAATCTTCACGTGGCCTGACTTCCAATAAACTGTTCCCCTCCTCACCCCTTGGAGAAAGTGAAATAAGACATTAGACTTTCAATAATCTCATATGGTGATGATCAATCAAAACCCAGAGGAGAAGGCCAATTTATAGAAATTGTATCTGCTTCACTGGGCGGCTGGAACAAGGGAGCTGATAAGAACACTGTGCTCGCCTTTGATGTGTGAAGTTGCCCCAAAATGACAAATGCCAAAGAGAAAAACAAAAACACTGCCTTACACACAGGGCCTTTTCAAAGGGAGAGGGTGCTTGGGAGAGGCCTGTGCTGAAGCAGATCACTGAAGGGAAGCACATGTATAGGCCACATAAAAAAGACTTATTTTTATTATCTTTTGGCTATTTCAAGTTGGCATTTCCATCTTTCCTGTTTGTGTTATCGCCAATGAAGTTTATTTGCTGAATTAACTTTTAATGGATCCTCTACTTTGTTCTTCAAAGTTGGATTCTGGGACTTAGGCCTTTTTAGTCTGGACCCCTCTTGCCTTTGTGACTAGCTCTCACCCCCCACCCCCATTCCAATCCTGGAGGTGAAGGGCTCAGCCTCTGTTAACTCCTTGCCTGCTGGTGTCTTTTCCCTGTAGCTACTAATCACCTCCTTTTGATCATTGCCAAGTTCTCAGGTTGAAGGAAGGAGAAAGGACCTCTTGACCATTCTGGCTGGCTTTCCACATGAGCCTGAAAATGTCGACAAATTTGAAACATCTGCCGGCCTGCTTTGGTCTGATTGCTAAAATATGCCGACCTCAAGCCCCCGCCCCCCCGCCCCTTTTAATCTGTTTCATATTCACAAATTAAGCATTTAGTCTGGGTAATAAATCAGGGCGGTTTACGAGGTTCACACGAGACAAACAAGCAAGCAGGGCAGAACACAAGCCCCTGGAAGCGGCGTGCGCGGAGCTGCCAGGAGTCGGGAGCCCCACGCGCTCGAACGCCGAAAGCAGCCCCAGCGCGCCCTGACACGCCGCCAGCACCCACACTTCGGCTGGTCCCCGAGCGGGCGGAGCGGAGAGGTGCAGGGGAGCAGCCCCAGCCTGGGCCCACACCCCTCTAACCTTCCGCACGAACCCGCGGCGCCCGGCGCGCCCCAGCTCTGGGCAACTCGGCGCCCCCGCCCCGCCAGGGAGGGACCGCTGGCATAGGCGACAGCCTCAACCGGTACACACCCTGCGGTGGGCCCATTAAGCCGAGAAGCCGAGGAAACTGGATGCCCCCTCCCCCACCTCTTCCATCCGGCTGGGCTTGGCCTTAAAGATCCCAGGCCCACAGTCGCAAGCAATACGAAGGTTCCCCTCCACATCCACGTGTGACCTCCACTGAGCCTGGGCGCTAGGCACCGCCCCCCCCCCCCCCATCTCTCCGCGTTGCCTCCTCCCAGGTTTCGGTCCCAGCAGCCACAAAGCTACTTTCAGATTCAGAAAGGGGGGGGGGGTGCGGGGGAAGGGCTCTCTTTTAGAGTGGATCAAGGCTTAAGAGAGGCACAGAGAGGGGAGCAATGCACAAAACAGGGCTCTGGGCCCGCTGCAGAGACCCGCGTCCGGGCTTTAGTGACCACCCAAACTCAAGGGGCTTCAACCTGTGCGTTTCCCGCCCTCCCCAGTGCATCAGCGAGAAGTGGACCCGGACCGGGGGTCTCAGACCAGTACCAGCCTAGGACCTTGGGAGACTCTGAAGGGGAGAGCGGCTCCAGGTCACCCCGTCCGAGCCTCCGGCGCCGTGCCATGCTCAAGTTCCCTATCGATTGGCGTTCTCAACGCTATCGTGGCGGCAGAGAGACTGAGGGCGGGAAATCGGGAAGCCGGAACCTGCAGCCCACCCTGGACCCGGGAGGGGGTGCAGGCGTAAGAACAATTCCCCCATCTCGCAACACAGTACACGCACGCATCGCCCTTCCTCCTAGCACACATTACGACTGCGAAAGCCATTACCGCCGGCGCGCGAGAGACTTTTTAAATATTTACAGCCCGCTCTCCGCACGGTAGCCTGATCCATCTTGTGGGCGCGGAGGCGGGGCGCGGGGCTCCGCTCCGGGGGTGGTGCGGAGTCGGGGCGGGGGTTCCAGCCGCCTTCCCCCGCGGCTCCGGGGTCCGCCCGGAGCTCCCCATCTTGTTCCCCCCGCCAGGTGGGTAGTGGGCCGGAGACTGCGCGCAGCGCGCCCACGGCCCTGTCGGGGCCTGAGCGGGCGGGAGTAGGGGGGTGCAGCGTCCAGGAGGAGGGAAGGCCGGGAGGCTGATTTAAAGGTTCTCACCGGGAAGCGAGAGAGGCACAGACCTGAGAGCCGCCGCGCGGTGAAATCCGAGGAGCTCTCTTGGCGAGGAGGGGCTGTCAGAGGCCATTTATCTCTCGCCGGAGTGGAGGCTCGGCTCCCACACCGCCCGCGAGTAACAATGGCAGCGATCAGCAGCTCTGCACGCGCTTCAGTGCATGAATGGATTGCGGAAGATGCCTGCGCTCTTCTTCGCTCAGGCGGCTCTCGGAGCGCCCCCTCCCCGCCCGCCGCCCCCGCCCCGCCGGCCTCCTCCGGCCCGAGAGCGCGCGGTGTGCCTCGGGGTTCGCGAGTCCGGCCCCGCGGCGCGGTCACTCTTACCCCGATCCCCCGCCGCCCTTCCCCCCTGCCGCGGCTCCCAGGGCTCTGGCACCTTGCCACCGAGTGTCATTAGGGGCTGAAACTTGACACAAGCCTTCCCGACGCAGACACCCCCGCCAGCCCCCTCCCTCCTTCGCTCCCCTCGCGGCAAGTTTACTTTCAAGGAGTTGGACGGTGTTTCCGCCTCAAAGGCCGGCCGAGTGCGGGTTCCAGGGGGAGGGGCGGGCTCGGAAGGGTGTCTTCACCTGCCTCACGGCCTAGAATGTTCGCAGGCCCCTGGCTGGCCCCCAGCCCGAGCGCCCGAGGCCCGCGCCCCCTCCTCTTCGCTTTGTAGCGGCTAATCCACCGAGAGTCCCAGCGATCCGCACACGCACTCCGGACACCCCCCCCCCCGGACCCACACGTCCGGCCACCTTTCGGGTCAGCGACACAGCCGTGTACTCCCAATTCTCAAAGGCTTACACTTCTCAGAACGCCACAGACGGCGCGAGGAGGGCCGCAGAAGTGGTTCCCTTCAACTCTGCAAAGGTCTCATAAAAGTCCCCCTCCAGGTGCTGCCAAGGGCTGGGAGCCGCGAGAAGCGCAGTGAGAGATACTCCGAGCCCTTCTGGGTTTGCTTTGAGGGGAGCTAAACCCAGAACCTCGGGATGTTTCAGTCCTGGAGGTCGCCAGGCTCTGGATGCGGCAGACTGGGGCGGGGGAGGGGGCGCCAGGGGTAGGCCCTCTCCGCGATCCGACGGCCGTGCCAAGTAGCCAGCGAGAAGAGGCTGGGTTGAGGGAAGGCGGCCACACACGTGCGCAAAGAGCGAGGCGCCGTAAAAAGCTGAGACGCACTCGGAAAGGCAGAGCGCGCCCGGCCGACCCAGGAGACTGGCGAGGGCAGGCGAGGAGCTGGCAGCGAGACAAAGCGGGAGGAGAGCGCCAGGGAGGCTCAGCCGCAGACCCGGAAACGCAGGCAGCAGCAGACGACCGAGCCCCGACGCGGAGGCGTGCGCAGCCAGGCCCGGCCTGGCATCCCTGGGTTTGCGAGCCCGGGGACGCTGACGCGGACTCTTGGCGGGGCCTTCTGCCAGACCTGGTCTCTGTTGGGCCTGGGCTGGCTCGGCGAATCAGCTCGGGCCTTCCCAGCAGATGGTGGGGCCCACGCTGTGGGCTTAACTGACCCCTCTGGTCCCCGCCCTTCCCTGAGCCCCGGGACAAAGGTGTGGGTTTGAGGAGGTCAGCACTTTCTCCAGGCAAGAGTATAGCCCTCACGTGTCCACCCTGGGGGCCACTGGCAACTGTTTACCTGACTTGGAGGTGCCAGGAGGCCACCACTCTCGACTGAATTGACATTCCAGCTTGCCCATCGCAAGACCCCTACAGCAAAGCCCACGCCCTGACTTTCCAACCACTGGGAATTGAGTGGGCTTCCCACAAGGAGGAACAGTGTCATGTGAGAGGAGCCGCTCAGCTTCCAGTTCTCCGCTGCTCCCTTCCACTGCCTGCACAATGGACCCAGCACGTGGCTCCTACTGGGCCAGGAGCACCTTTTACTCACTGATCTCCCCTTCACTTCTCCCCACGCTGCCTGGGTAGCCCGGGACAGACGTCTCCGAGCATGCCTCTCCAACCTCGAATGAAGCTGAGCGCTTTCTCCAGGCTGTTGGCTCTGCCGCACACTGGCTCCACACACACACACCACACCACGAGTTGTTCACACACACACACACACACACACCACGAGTTGTTCTCGCCCTTCCTGTCTCCCTGCTGGGCGCCCTCAAAACCTGACTGCTCAGGCTGAGTGCAGAGTCCCTGCAGAGTGGGGAGCCTGGAGGACCATGGGGAACCTGGAGCACCAAGAGGAGGTGGCCAAGGGAGAGAAGGAGAGGGCCGCTAATGGAGGAGGGGGCGCATGCCTGAGAGAGAAGAAGCCAGCTTGCAGCCACAGCCTGGAGGAGAGGAAGAGTATAAAGGGAAAGCCAACACTAATCCCTCAGCCTACCTACGTGGGGCCTGACAGTTTACAAAAGCCTTTTCCCTGAATATTATCTCATTCGCACCGGGCTATAAGGGAGGTAGGGCAGATAGCGTTACCCCCATTGACAGAGGAGAGAGAGGATGCCCACAGAGGTTAAGATAGGTCTGTACCAAGGTCGCAGAGCTAAGAGTGGTGGAGGAGCCCCCAGGCCTGGGGTTTCCTGCTCCCAAGTTCACTTTCCTGTTCAATAGCTCTGTGTGTGTGTGTCTGGGTGACTATCTGTGTGGAGGGGAAGGCGGGGGGGATGGCTGGACAGGAATGAGCAGTCCAGTGAGGGAAGTCCAGGAAGGAAGGACATAGCCTCATACCTCTTCCTCTACTCAGGTCTCACCCAGCAGCCTCCTGCTTTTTCCGTAGCAGCCTGTGAGCTGGCCCCCAACGCGCCTGCCCAGGGGCGAGCTGTCTGTGCCTCCAGCAGTGGCTGTTCCAGCGGGCTTAGATCTTTGGGAGGCCCCGCTCTGCCGGTCTGCTCGGCTCTCCTCTCTGCCTGTCATCCCCACCCCCAGCCTCGGCTGCAGGATGCCTTGCGTCCAACTGTGGTTTCCGGGCAATAAAACAACTATTAAAGTCTCAGGCACGGCTGGTGATTTGCATCACATCCTCTCGTGCATGGATTCAATATTTAATACACAATATTGAATACGGATATTAAAAATCAATAGCTGAGGACCCCTGGGGAGGCGGCACAGTGCGATCCTGCTTCGGGAACACAACCAGCTCCTCTAAAAAGACAGGAACGGCAAGTTCAGCCAAGCTGAGCCCAGCGCCAGGGGAAGTGAGGAGTAGTGGATGCCTCGCAGCTTCCTGATCTACTTAACTGCATCATTCCTAAGTCAGGCTAAAGGGAGGCCAAAGGAACTCACTGTGCCCTCAGGCTTTACTAGCTGGCGAGTGGGGTGGGGTAGAATTTGTTTCCAAGCAAGCTACCAGGTGGATGGAGATGCCCCTTTTGTTGCCATTTGCTCTTTGGTTTGGTTTTGTGCAGGCAAGCACTCAACACTTCCCACCATGATGGCTCCTTCCCAGGTCTCATGACATCCACCGCCCATAGGCCCCACGGGAAGCTTCTGGCATAAGCTTTCAGGGAGATGGACCAGAGGATGCCAATGGCTCAAAATATTCTTTGTACAGTAAAAGAAATGTTAATTAGGCTCATAGTCACAGGGTCTTCTGAGGCACCACCAGTCTGCAAGACAGAAACCCTCAAGCACATGACCTGCCAAAGGGCCTGGTGATGGCCTGCTGGTGACAGGACGATGACGAGGAGGAGGCAAGACACTGAGGCACTCCTGATCCAGAACAAGAATCCGGATTGCCTGTTAAACAGCCAGGAGAAGAGGGAGCTCCCAGGACGCATAATTATCTTTTCAGGCCTGAAGAGGAACACAAATTACTCTTCTTTATCAAAACACAGAAATACACTTTCCCCTACATAGCAACAAGGTTCTTGCATGCTGATAGGGAAGGGGTGAAGAAGAATAAACATTCTGAGAGAAGTTTTTTTTTTTCCAGTACAGAAAGAGAAGAGAAACTAACAGTGGGAGACACACTTAGCTTATCTGATTGGAAGGGCCTGGACATTTTTCGATGCCAAAGAACTAGGTGAACTTGACCTATTGAAGTGCATTCTAGACACCAACTTACCATATCAGTTTTATATATTCCCTTTTTATCAGAGCTTAAATCAATGTGGATGGAGTTGGAAACCTTGCTCTGGTTATAAATAGACAGGACACCTCAGGAAAACCCCCAAGTGGCAATTTGGGTAAAAGTGAGAAGGGAAGGAAAGAGGTGTTAGAAAATGACAGTTAATGAGCCAGTGGCCTTGCCTCTTTGTTCCCTAACAGTTGTCAGAGAAACCATCAAAAGGAGGGAACAGGGGCCCTTCTCAGAACCGTCACAGGAAAAGCTGACTCGCTTTCTGGCTGCTGCAGATCCCCTCGGTGGTGGCTCACAGAAAGGCCCCCTGGGAGTTTGCCTGTGTATATTTATGTGTTTCCGGGCTAGGGGTGCCAGCACTTTTTACAATGTCAGGCCTGGGCCTGTGAAACCCACTAGCAAAAGGAAAAGATGTTCTAAGGCAAATGTTGTATATGGAACAACTGCTCCAGCATAGTCAGCAACATCTTCTTGGGTCCTTCAACACTACCAAATGCCCTCGCTTCTTCCCACCTTGGCCATTGGCCAGGCTCTGGGCCTCCTCTAGACCCACGCAGACCTGACGGTTTGTAGACCCCACAGTTCGCACGGAGTAGGGACATATGACCAGGGTTTGAGACAGCTGGCCAATGGGGAAAGGAGGCTCAGCTTGGGGGGACCCAAGGGCTCAGGGTACAAGCTCAGAACCCACTGAGGATGACACCTCTCCCTTGGACCCACCTGGTACTCCAAATCAAGACAGAAAATGGTGGCCTTGTCCCATATTGGTGGGCTACACCTAAGGTGGAGGCGGCTTCTGTGGCATGAAGAACCTACACATCGGGTCCCAAATTTGGAAAGGATTTGGAGGCAGGAGGGGGGGTGTGTATCTTCAGGCCTCGCACCTCTCCACCCTTCTGAACATTTTCCTGGAACCAACTGAAGCTGCTAGTGGAGTTGTTCCTGAAGCTCCTCGGGAACTCCTCCTGGTGCACGGCTGCAAGGAGAATGGCCTTCTGTCACAGGATCCCTAGGAGGGTATTTGCATTCACCAAAACAAGGGGCCTCAGATTCAGGGGCAAAGCCTCACAGTTCCAATACTGACTCTGCCTTCCCTCCCACACCTCGCAGAAACACCCCCAAACTACTGGGGTGTCCACCGAGCTTGAGGCCAGGGTCAGCGGAAACACGGTGGCCACCACCACCAAGTTGCCGGCCGAGATAACAGCTGCGGGAGGGGGAGGGGAGCCGCAAGCAGCCACGACCGAACGGTTGCGATCTAGAAAATTCAACAAGAGGCCGCCGCCACCGCGGCGGCGGCGGCGGCGGCTCCAATTAGCTGAGCCAACTGGGAAGGCAGAGAGCGAGGCGGCGGCCCCGCCGATCGTGCCCGGGGCGACCAGGCGGGCGGGGCGCACGGCCTCGGAGCTGCCCGGGCGGCCCTCGGCCGGCCCCTCCCGCGGGCTCTCGGAGCGCGCCTGGTGTTTACACACTGTCCTTCCGACACGGGATCAAGTTTCAGGCCGCGCTGGAGGCGCCGGGGGCCGGCCCCAGGCCCGGGAGAGGGGAAGAACTGGAACGGGATCGAAGGCAGCGCTGCGCGGACCAGAAGGCCCGGCGCGCGTGGGCACAGCCAGTGCCGCGATCCCCTCGGGGGTGGGGCGAAGGGAAGTCCGGCGGGCAGGGTGGACCGGGGCAGGTGGGACTGCGGAGAGCTATCCGGAGGGAGAAGCATCTCCGAGTCGCTAGAGTGGTGTGCTTTGCTCTCTCGGGCCGGAGAACTAAGCCCCGGCGAGGGGCGGGGAGGACTGCCCAGAAGCCGGGCGCCAAGAACGCTCTGAGCGCCCTTCGTTGAGCTCTCCGCTCTTTCCCCCCAGCACCTTTGATACGCTACCGGATGGCTTCAGACCCTTGTGGGGCAGGAGAGGGGCTACAAGAGGAACGCGCTCGCAGAGACCTCGAGCCTCCCCGCGCGCCCTGGCCCCGGGGCTGCCGAGGCCTCGGGCCGAGTGCCGGAGGGCTCGCCGCTCCGCGTCTTCTCCGAGCTGGCAGCGCGCGGGTGCCCCATGCTGTCAGGCGGCGGCGGGTTATGCTTCCAGCAGCAGGCACGCTGTAAACAGCTGCGTGCGCGCCCTCCCCGCTCGGGCTGGGAACCTCACCCAAACACCATGTCGCCTTCTCTCCGGCTCCCGGCAGAGGCTGGGGGTTGGGGGGGGGGTGGGGAGGAGGCGCGGGGGGCGAAGCTTTCGTAGCCCAGCCGGGAGAACCCGGGCCCCCACCCCACCCCCAGGCCAGCGGGGCCCGGGAGCAAGCGTTCTGAACCTGCAGGGGTGCGGGGTGCTGCGGGGAGGGGAAGGAGTCAGCGCCTGCCCCCTCCCCACTGAATGTCTGCTTTGTTCCGGAAAACAAGGGAAGCATTAGGCTGCTGCCCCCGGGGAAACACAAAACTTCTTTTTGAATCTCGGGAAGGGCGGTTGACTGCGCTACGGGGCTCCCGAGACAGACCGAGGAGGGGAAAAGCTGAGAGGGCGGGTGGAGACAGGGAGACTCCGGAGGGAAGACGACGGACAAGTGTGGGGAGGGGAAGACAGCCGCTTAGGGTGACCGGGCGGGAGACCCGGGAACCCGACTCGGCGCGAACGTGCCGCGCGAGTTCCAGCGAGCAGCCGGCCCGGCCAAGTGGCGCCGGCCCAGCCGGCGGCCGTGCCAGCTTCCTGCCCTGCCCAGGACCGTGGAGCAGTCGGGGACGCCGCCGCAGGCTGGCCCGGAATCGCAGGACAGCGGGGTAGGGGGCGCAAAGCTCCCAGTAAACCCCAACCAGAACTTTGTGCATATTTCCCCCTCATCCCCAGGGTGGGCCCGGACCCCAGACCTGTGGGGCGTCGGCTGTGGGCTTACAGTCTTGGAGAAAGGAGGGGGCAAAGGCCCAGGGAGCTCCCCCGCGAGGGAGGTGGGAGACTGAGGTGTCTTTGGTCTCATTTGATGACCGCTAATCGGATCGGCTCCCAGGCCCTCTGTGCCGATGCGAGGGGGCGGGTCACTTCTGCCCTGGCCGGTGCGTGCGGGCGAGGGGACGGAGGGAAAGCAGACCCGGAGCTCTCGTTCCCCAGTTCCGGATCCTCTCCCGACCGCCACCCCTCACTTCGCCCTTCCAGCACCTAAGGAAGGGGAGCGCACCCAGACTCTGCCCCACCCTCCGCGGGGCACTCCCCTCCGCCTCGGAAGCTCAGAACTAGAGCGAGGGTTTTCCCCCTTTCCCCTGGGCTCGCAGGGTTTCCAACTTCCTCTAAACCGCCCTCTCCGCTCCGAAAAGCCCCGAGGAGAGGAGCCGAAAGGAAGCACGCCGCTGGTCTGCGAAATGAAGACCATGTGTGAGGACGGCGGCATCAGAGTGCAGCCGCCGCGGAGTGGGGGGGGGTGGGGGTGGCGAAGCCCCCGCGCGGCCGGAGGCTCGGGACAGCAGCAGCCAGCGCCTCAGCTCGGCGCTGGGGACGCGGAGCCGCAGTGAAGAACAGCGGAGAGGCTGGGCTGGCCTCGTGGCGGGCAGCAGGGAGGGGGTGCGGGGGCTGCCGCGCCGTGGGGGGCGGGGGGGGCGGGGACGCAGCCCAGGCTTCCTGGGCCGCAGCTGCGACCGAGGGCGCAAGAGCAGATCGTGCTCGGCGGCGGCGGCGGCGGCGGCTCGGGCCCGCCGCGCTCGCAGCTGAGAATCAACAAAGGGAGGCGGCGGGCGAGCGGGGGAGGGGCGCCGCCGAGCGCTCGCTGGCTGCTGTGGAATAATAAAAAATAATTAATAATGATAATAAGAGAAAAATCCCCGGGCTTTCATGGCTCTGGGTTTCCGTGTGGCTGCAGCGGGAAGCGCGCTGTCCTTGAGGCGGCCTCTCTCGCCTGGTCTGCCCGCCCCTCCCCCTCCCTCGCCCCCTCCCCTCCCCAGGAACCGGGAAGAGAAAGGTCTGCAGCTGACAAATATTATCCATTCTCCCCATCGATCGCGGAGTGTACAGATGTGAGCGCTTGATGTGCCCGCGGAGCGGCGGATCCTCCCTGCTCGCTCGCTCTCGCCCAGGCTCCGCTCGCCGCCCCCCTCCTCCCCCTTTGTTCTCCTCCCCTTTCCCTCTCTTTAAATAGATTTCAGGGCGCTGCCTGTTGGAGAGCAGCTGGCGATCTCTCCCGAGAGAGGGAGCGAGCGAAGCCCGAGGTGCCCTGTCACCAGTCTCCCCTCCCCCACCTCGCCTTCCCAGTGAGGTCCCACCCCCCCCCCCCCGCCTTTCTCCAGTTTCCGAAAGAGAAAACACCGGGAACACCCACGTCCACTGCACTGCGAGCCTCTCGGAGCCTTTGGACCCCTCGCGCTGTCCCCGTGCTGGTGTCTGTGTCGGGGGGGCGGGGCGCACGGAGGGGACCCAGGGACGTGCCGGAAGAGCCGAGGGTCGGGATCTTTCTCCGGCAGCAGCAGGCACGCAGCCCCGGTCACGCTGAGAGGGGACAGTTTACCCATTAGGGAAAGTCGGCAGAGGCGGCCCTTTTATTCCTCTTTTGCAGATGGCAGATTAAGCCAGCAGCGTCCGGCCTCAAAGGGGCCGGCCGCTCGGCTAAGGGTTAACCCGTCGGCCGGTAATCGCAGGCACACACACACACTCACACACACACGCGCGGGTGCGCGCGACGCGCCCTCCCCGCCCGAGCGCCCGCCCGCCCGAGCGCCCGCCACAGCCTGCAGTGCGCCCGGGGCTGGGGGGGGGGGCTCGGGGGGAGGGGCGGGGCGGGCTTAACCAGGCCGCTCGACTGAGCAGAGGCCACCTCGCCGTCTGTCACTTAAATGATTGTCCTCCGCTCCGCTCCGTGCGGTCAGTACGGGCTGTTAACAGGCAGTTGCAATCAGTTTCCGAAAGGTCAGCCAAGGTCCTCCGGCTCTCGCAGACGGAAGGCATTACGAAACCGCTTTTGTATCTGCAGGCACTTTAGAAAAAGACGCGAGGAGGGGCGCACCGCAGCGCCGCGGTGCTGCGAGCCCCGGGAGAGGGGCGGGGGCCGTGGGGCGGGGGAGCTTGCCCACCCCCGACCCCCGCCGCTGCCTGGACTCGGCGGCGGGGAAACCACACCGCGAGTGACCCAGGCCCTCCCGGTTTCGATGGGGAAGCAGGAAGGAAGGGGGGGGGGAGCAGGCGGCAAGGCAAGGAGGAACGGGAGGAAGTGGGAGAGGCGTCCTGGCTCCCCTCCTCTCCTGGCCTTCGGCCCACCCCAGGACCCAGACCCGGGTGGGAGGCCCTGGGTGCCTCAAGACCCCGCTTGGACTCTCAGGTCCTCCTGTCTCTGGGAAGTGGGGCGGGGGGAGGGGGGCTCGGGGAAAAAGACCCTCGCAGAGCAAGCGAGTCCCCGCGCGGTGTCTGAAGAAGCTGCTGCTGCCGCCGCTAGAAGTCGTCCATCAGCAACCAGTCCAACCTGCCAGTGATAATGTGCGATCAACACCAAATCACCCCCGCCAGGCGCGATCCATCATCGCTGCGCGCCGCGGGCCCGCGTGAGGCTGACTCGGGGCTTGGGGTGGGGGGTGCGGAGCAGGAGGCTATCGCCCAGCGCACTGGGACTCTCAGCGCACCTAGTTGCCCCTTCGGGAGGCCTGCATCCCGGCGTTCATAACTCTCCAAGTTCCCCAGCCGCAAAGCTCAGATCCGGTGGCACCGAGTTCCCAGCACAGGTCACTTAAGAGCCCTCACGCCTTACTATCCAGGTCACACCCTCCCTTCCTCGGAACTGCCCTGCCCGTCCCCTCCCCCTCCTTCGAGAAAGCCTGGCTGGCGGGAAATTAATATTTAATATCGTGAAATTGATTAAAGGGCTGGAAGCCGGCGATGGGGTGGGGGGAAGGGTAGGGGCGTAATTAAAGATCTGAGAGTCGTGGCCGCTCTTCGTCTGCTCGAGCCGCACGCAGCCTTTGTGAGGTCGAGGCGGAACTGCGCTAGGCTGAGCCCGGCGGCCTCGGGGCGGTGGCCGGTGCTGCCCAGTATCTGGCCGGCGCCCGAGGGTGGAAGGCAGGGGGCGGGCTGTCCGGAGGTGGCCAGTTAACCTTAGCGCACCTGAGGCTGTGCGTGCAGCCGCGCTTCCCATGCCTGCCTGTACCGTGGGCTCCTCTCGGCCGCAGGAGCCTGAGGGTTGGGTGTTGGAGCTTTTCGCGGCGAGTTCGGCAGCGAAGCGCCTTCCCCGCCCGGGGGGCACAGGAAGGTTCATCTCCCCTTCGATTCCAGGGTCCCCAGCGCTGCCTCACACCTCGGGCCCCGCTCCGAAGCCCCGGCCCCAACCTTTGATTGGGGTCTTCTGGGTCTCCCACGCCAGCCTTTCGGAAGCCATGAGCCAGATACAGCCAGTTCTGTAACTGGGGGGGTCCTGAGGCCGAGGCTGCCCGGAGCCCCCGCCGGTTCTCTCCCGTCCAGGCCCCACCCCGGGCCGCTCACAGTCAGCTGCACTGCAGATGGGGCCTGCCGCTCGAGGCGGCGGTCTCCAGGGAGCCGTCACCGAACCAGCTCCGCCGGCCGCCTGTCGTACCGTTTATGGTTACTGCGCCTCCCGGGAGGGGCACGGGGGCTGGACATGGCTCGAGGTGGGTGCCCCCGGGCCACCCGAGCTGGCGCTACTAGAGGAATTTGGTGGGCACAAGGTCAGCGGTAACCCTTCGGCGCGGGCTACCGTGTAGAAATCGGATGGATTTGGCTCCGTGGTAGGATGACCCCCATCTCCTGCAGGCCTGGCTCCAGAGGGCCGCTTTGAACTTTTCCTTGTACACGTTTTATTTTTTTGGTGAAGCGGTCTGTCTGAAAAGTACCAAATGTGCAGAGGGGAGAAAGCACAAACACTACAAGCAGCGTCTTTGGCCCTAATCAGATGGGGGCCGGGAGGGCCCGCCAGGCTCCAGGCCAGCTAGAAGGAAGGTCAGGACCAAAGAGGATTAGGCCCAGGCTTGGGTTTATTGCTGTACTTGAACAAAGCACCGGGGGCTGCCTAAACTGGAGCAAGAGAGAGGTAATTAATAGAGGGGCTGCAGAAGTAAAGAAAGGCTGGTGTGGCGGCTGCCTGGGTGGGTGGAGGAAGTGTTCTCCATGAGAATAACCAGTCGGTGCAAATGTTATGCAGAACGACTTTATTTCACCAAAACAAAACAAAAAAGTTCACTTTCAGCCTCTCACGCTGAGTTGATAAGCTACAAGCAAACCTGGGATGGAATCTTGAACCAGTGGGAGGTGTCAGGCTGCAATTTACAAAGGGCGAAGGGAAGCTTTTCCGGGTACCTCTCGGTTTCTACCATTGTGATTCTACCGGCATCAGCTACTCCCTCGGGTGGCCCTTCTGACCTCCCAACCTGAGCCCGAGGCGAGATCACTCAGAAGGCACCGCATTCATCAATGCCATTTCTGGTAAATTGGACCTCAGGTTCTGGAGTGTCCTAGAAGACAGGCAGCTTACACAGTGCGCATACCGATGTCAGAGCAAATGTGATGGGCTGCTCACATTCTGTAGCCTCTACTGGACTATATTACGGATTTCCTAACTAGATGTACCCCATTTTCCAAGACATTCTTGATTTCAAGAGCTCTAGGCCTGTATATTAATTGGGCGCGATCCTCGACCTGCGGTCATGGGTATTGTGTCACTGTACACCAAACGTGCACCAATCGTGTCCCACGCCGTAGTGGCCGAGCTGCCAGGGTGGAAGGGAATGGCTTGGGGTTGAGATCTGCATACAGTGGTACCCACAGGTCCGCTGTTCACTGTGTCTAGTCCGGCAGCCATCCTCCTCGCAGTCCTTATCTCAACCAGGACCTGTCCCTACCTCCTCCTACCGAGAGTCTGGGGGAGTTGGGTGATAAAACATCCCTTTAGGCGTCATCCAGGTAGGACGCTGGGCCAGGGAGCTTGTCTGGGGAAGGGGCAGGGCTGAGTCCTCACCGGTCCCCGTAGGCCAAGGAGCTGCGGCCTTCCCGCTGGGAGGCCCAGGCCCGGCGCGCGGGTTCCCGGGGGGCTGTGCCCGCCTTTCCCCCAGGCGCGGGCTGCACGCCGGCCGCCATCTTAATCCGGGCGGCGCGGGCGGTGCTGCCCCCGGCGGTGGGACCGCAGAGCCGCTGGCCGGGCCCAGGCGGCAGTGCGGGCGTTCCCGGGGCGCCGTGCCCCTTTGCCTCCAGCGGCCCTTCCGCGCAGCTGGCCGCGGCTGACCCCAGGCCCGGGGCAACCGCTCCTGGTTAAAGCGCAGGCTGTGGTCGCCCCTAGCCGCCACGCCAAGACGGATTTTAAGCCCGAGGAACGACCTCAGATTCCAGGACTCCTGAATGGTCCAGGCGGTATGACCTCTCCTGCACCCAATGGCCCGCCCGCGCATCCTGCAACTTGGCCTGCTGTCATCCTGGGGGGCAAGGCCTGCAGCACAGTCCCCACCGTCCAAAGGGTCTCTGAGCAGCTTTGAGGGCAGAGAGGATTTGAAAGTTATGTCTCTTTAAGGGGTCTAGGTTGGAGAAGACTCACTCTACTTTTCGGCCTTTTGACAGGGCTTTATGGAGAGCTTGCTAAGGGCTAGGCACTGACTGAGGCCCTAGGGGAATCCAAAAGTACAAAAATGAATTCTGTAAAAAGGCACCCCTGGCCCTCAAGTAATTTACAGTCTAGCTGGGAAGGCAGACTTGTAAATGACTAACTAAACACAAATAAAAGGCAACGTGAAATTAATGTAAACAAAGGGCATGAATCCTCCAGTAAATGGTCTGGGGAAGGGCCAATTAATTATTTTTAAAATAACCTTTACTTCTAAAAATATAGAATCAGTTCTGGGAGGGGAAGGGAGGATAAAAATATGCTAACACTGAATAGTTTCAGGGTTCCAGGGAATAACAGTCATCACTTCTGAAAGGTTGCTGTTTAGGAAAAATGGTGAAAGTTTATTTAAACTAAGCAAAATACCAAGATTCAGAAACTTAGGATTCATGTCTCAGCTCCTGACATCAGCTGAGCTGTAGAGATGCAGTTTTCCATCCAAACACAATACCACCACCTTCTCCCTCCCTCACTTTGAAATCGGTAAAACTCCCACCACACTTCATAAAAAGCAAAGTTTTAGAAAATAAAACTAAATGGAAGATGAGAAACTTCTAAAAAGGTTTGCGGCTGGAAGACAATAGGAATGAAAAAAGAAACAAACACATAGAACAAAAAAAGATTAGCCTTTTTGCAGATGGGCTGCAAGATGTGAACATGAAAAAAAAAACTGCCCCAAGATGATTTCAGAGAGGTTGGAGAGTGTGGGAAAAATCAGTCATAGGTCAAAGAAAATGAAGCAAATAGAAAAAGGAGGCAATTATTAACTCCAAGGGAAAAAAAAAATCCTACAAGAAAGGAAAGGCAATCACTGAAGCTCATCTGCCTCAGGAATAAACAATCCATATGTGGTTACAAAGTAAACACTGGACATGAATTTAATAAGAAATTATGGTACAGGTCTATTGTGAGGGTGGGGGAGGGGAAGTGTGACGCAGAGAATGAAAATCCTCCTCTACCACACCAGGAGGTCAACAGATGATATTATTGTGGATTTTTTTCAGAGAAGGCCACATCTACTTATTACTTAGAAAGTTTGGCAGAACAAGGGAGAGGGGTACTTTCTTGTAACAAGCCTTTGCATACTATTTGGGCTTCATAAACTTTGGGCAAATAATTCCTTTGTGAAAAATACAAATTTTAATTTTAAAAAGTAAACACACATAAATATAAATAAAACTATAGAAATAAAAATATAGAAGAAACTGAGAACTCCCAGCCACAATGATGTAACTTTGAAACTGTCTTTCTTCAACATACCCAGCTCCAATTATGCAAAATTTGGAAAGAAACTGGAAGGCAAACGGATTTAGAGCTCCTGGCCTGTCCATCCTTAGCTATAAAGAGCAAGTCACCTAAATTCGCTGTTCTCAGGAGACACCATTTCTGGCTTTACAGTGAAAATACCTTCCTAAGTATTAATGGAATTTCAAATACCCACACTGTCCACTATAGAAATGAACAGGAGCAAGCTTTACAGGGCTAATTTAGAAGGCTTCCAGAGGCTTCCCCTAGGAGCCTACTGCTCACACCAGAAAAATCTCTCTTTGGAGTTAACTTTGATTAGGAATTGCTTTCTCTGGATGATCCTCCACTTTTAAATGCAAATTGTCTTTGCCCATTACACGTTAATGTGAATTTCAGTTCACAGGTAACCTGTTAGGATGTCCAACTCTATTGCACCACCTGTTTGGGTCTTCCACTCAAACGGCTGCACCCACTACATATAGTCCTGCAGCTAACATCCCCGAAAGGCTTCACTTTCAAAACCAAAGAAAACATCCCTCCCCCCACCCCAACTTCAAATCCCACCTTGCTGGCTAAACAAGAAACATAGGTAGGGTGACACCCCTGTCTTTTTTTTTTTAAACTCCAAATAAAGCCTAGGAGGGATCTAGTAATTCAATAATTTATGAACACTGGACCATGCAGATGAGAGGGGCTGAAACAAAGAGCGAGTAACGGGCCTACTGCTCCAACCTGCTTGGTCGACGCTGGCTTGATCTACAGCCTAAGGCTAGCCCGATCTGCTCCCAAGATGCCCTTTTGACCCCCATCCTGTCCTGTGTCACCGTCTCTTTTCTTAGTGATCAGAGAGAAAAATCTGTTTCGCCTCTGCCCTGAGAACAGAACTGCCACTAGCCTATTTGCTGATATCAGGAGCACTGGAGAAAAGTGCCTCTGGGCCTGAATTCCAGTCCTCACTCTCTGTCGTGGCTGGGAGCCTTAGTACAGTATGCAAGCTACACATCCTGACATGGATGGCCCTGCTCCAGAAGCCAGCTTCTTTTGGGGGCTCTACTGAAGGTTGCTCAGTTCTGACGCACAAGGTTCCTGCTCCATTTGGGTTTCTTTGGTTTCCAGCAGAGCAGACCTGTTTTTCAGCCCTGCAGACCCCTAATCACCTGAAGAGAGGCTGAGGTGAACCAGGTACATCCTGGGAAGTTGGGGTGAGGTCAGGAAAGGGGCAGGTCAGTCAGTTTAACTGGGAGTCCTCCACTAACTCAGGGATTTCAATTTTCATTGAGATCTAAAGACAGGAGCATCCCGCCCCAAAGCCTTGCTGAAAATGAAATCTTCATGAGCAAAAAAGGAAAGCCAGCCAGAGGGTGCACATGCCTTTTGGAATTTCAAAAACGGGAAAATGATGAGATTTCAGATTTAGGGAAGGCGTGTCACATTAAGGGAGCCAGAGAAAATAATAACTGCCAATTCCGAAGCAAAACAAAATCGTGTTTTTCCACTGCGTTTCTATCTCTGTCTCCTAGTCGAGCCACAATGAAATAGCAGATCAAATAGCAGATCAAAGGCAGAGGCAAATACAATTATGTTGCCTGTGAAACCCCTAGCATGAAATTAGAAGTCAAACTCTCCATTCAGGGGTTAGAGACAAGGATAATGGGAACCTGGGGCCCTAGAGATGTACCCAACCCCTTTCAGTCACAACACTATCCATGCTGGATATTTAAAACCACACCTGGGGGTAGGGGACAAACAGTAAGTATTAGAGTCATTTATTATTAGAGCAATGTATTATTTTTTCCACACTTTAGCAAATACACTGACTACAGTTCCAGCTCTGTACCACAGAAAGGTATCTGTATGTTGAAAGAAAAAAAAAAGGTGATTTGCAAGCAAATCATGAAAATAATGTTGCCTGAGGCAATGAAGGGTTACCACAGATCCTCCTAAGATGGCGGGTGAAGGATGGTGGCAGCCAGATTCCACAGTCCTGTCCTTTACCTACTTTCCCTTTCAATGCTGAAGGGCCTACAACCCAGCTGATCCCACCAACCAATTGTTCCTTAGTCCTTCCCACACATCACAAGCTCACAGAGAGAGCTATCCTTTGATATCTATTTTCCATGAAACCCATATTTGCTTTATGGCTCTATTTCTTTTACCCTGGCCTAATTTTAGCTCTCTGTCTCCCCCTCACCCCCCATATAATTTATGCAGCCTCTTGAGGGTACAAGCTCCTATTATAATGTAGACTATTCTGTTTAGAGCCAGTGCTAATTAAGCTTAGCTCTCAAGAGTGCCTGGCATGGCTTGCTTGCTTCTTTCTTTTTTCCCCAGTGACCCTAAGTTCTTTGACACTCCTCCCAATGAGGGGTAGGTCTATGTCCCTTCCCCTTGAATCTGAGTGGGCCCATGACTCATTGTAGGCAACAGAATATAGTAGAAATGATGCCACATGGTTTCTGAGGGTGGGTTGGAAAAGGTGATGCTGGAAGGCTTGTTTTTGGAGTCCTGAGCTGCTGCTATGTAACTTCTAGTCTTACTGCCCTTAAGCTGCCATACTGTGAGGAAGCCCAAGCCACACACAGAGCCCCGTGCTGGTGCCTCTGAACACAGCAGCGGTCCCAGCCAGCAGCCTGACAGGTGGGTGAGGTAGCCTCCAGATGATTCTAGCCCCCAGAATCTCCACTGAATTCTGGACCCACTGAGTCCATGAGGAGAATTCAGTTGCTTTCACACTAGCTCCCTTGCAGCTGACAAGCTCTGACCCTCACTTCTGATAGTAAGAAGGGGCAGTCAGTTTTATAACATGCCTGCTAGAAGGCGAGCTGGATTAAAATCAGAAGTGTGGAGGGCAGGACATATTTCATCACAACCCAAATCCTCGACCTTGGGTGGCACAACGTCTTGTTCTTTATGGGATCCCTGGAGGACAGACAGTGACTTGTCTCCCGCTCAAATCTGAACTCACATTTCCCCAAAAGCAGAGGTCCTCAACTTCCGGGATCTAATGCCTGATGATCTGAAATGGAGCTGATGTAATAATAATGGAAATAAAGTGCACAATAAATGTAAGGTGCTTGAATCATCCCACACACACCCCCGGGGGGTCCATGAGAAAATTGACTTCCATGAAACTGGTCCCTGATGCCAAAAATGTTGGGGACGGCTGTCCTAAAGAATCTGGTTGAAAGGACCCCAGTTGTTACCTTCTAACCTACGATGGCTGTACAAGGGAGCCAGTTCATGGGGCAGGAGAGCAGGACCAAACATTTCCTCCTCCCTCCCCACATTTTTCTTGCCTCTTCTGGAAGGTTCTCCTGTCAGGGAGGGAGTGGGATGGTATGCAGAAGGGGAGTCAGCTTGCCTCATTTTCTTCCCAATTCCTCCACAAACCCCACATCTTCTCATTCCCT